TATTAAACTCAATGCATAAATATTCTAGAATTGAGTCTAAAATATACTATGTTAGAATTATAAGGTGTGATTAGTTAACAATGTATGTTACATGTGTAATGTGTGGATTGATATTTCTATTTTAATATTATGGATTTACACTATATAATTGTATAAAATGCTATTAATTTGCCATGTTATTTGTTGTTTGTTGTTATGATTGCTTTTTATGCATGAGCAAGTAATGATACATATAATAACGAAACTCAACAATAGATGAATGTGAATATAAAAATGTTGTATTTTAGTAATCATATGTATATAAATATTAGGTGTGGTGCAAGACCTTTTTTATAGAGATTTATCTCTCTTGTTTCAAATAACTTTTATATTAAGAAGGACTATATATACACAATACATCTATATATGTCTCTAATTCTAATTGCACGGTGTGTTGTCAGATTACATAAGTTGTTTAATATTGAAATGGTATTACCCATCTAAAAGTAATATGTTTTAAAATTGGTATATTAAAGTTTCTAAGTATTTATTGTGCATGCAAATAAAAGATGACAATGCATTCTTTTCGTATATATACTAATTTGGAGAAGGAAAGTAATAATACATTTGCAAATATATTCACTTTTAATTCTTTACCTATATAAGAAAAGGCTAAAATCCTTATTTGTTCTTATTATTGTTTCAATTATTCAATTTGGTCTCTTTGTTTTTGGTATTTGTTTAATTAAGCCTTTTTTTTTTGTTAAAACCATTCATTCAGGGCCATTTATGTTGGATTGATGTTAAGTTGTTTCCTTACATGTCATATATCAGTTTCTAGAATTTTCAATTTTTATTTTTTTTAAGTTTTCTTTTTCATTTGTCAGATTATTGCATGCCACATGTCCGTATTACAATGTAATCTTTATATTTAAATCTTTGACTCAATTGAGTTTCATCTTTCTTTTCTTTTAAATGGAACAAGGTTGTCCTTCTCTAAAATAAATCTAAATTAATAATTAAACCTAATTACAACTTTTATATATATATATATATATATATATATATATATATATATATATTAAAATAATTTTTTAAATTTATACATCAAATCACTCCATCATAAATTTATATTTTTCAAAAATGTTAAAATTTAAATGTAAAATGATACTTGTAATTTTTAGATTTTAATATTTGAAATAAATTTATAAATTCAATGTGATAAATACATTTACATCTTTTAACTCAATATATTTTACACATTTTTATTCAATATATTTTACATAGTTGTTACCTTATTTATAAGTTTAATGTGACATATATAAAAGTATAAAAATTACAAGTGCACTTTATATTTATATTTTAACAATTTTAAAAAATTATAAGTTTAAAATATTATTTAACCACTTTAATAATGCTAAATAAGTCTTGTTGGGTCATATTACTTAGTATATTTTTTGGGCCAACAACGTTGCCTCCCTAATCTCAGAAGTTTGATTAGCATAAAGGCAATGTTTGTTGCAACAATAATTAGCTCTTTGGTTGAGGTGTAATCGGCTTTATGTTTGCAACTGGATGGTCGTTTAACAATATTGTTTGTGTTGTCATTAACTTTGCATGTGGATTCACTATTTGACCAGATAGTATTTGGTCGTCTTTGAATTTATAGGTGGATTGGCTGTTTGGCTAGATTGTATATGGTTGTCTTTGACCTTGCAAGTGGGTTGGCCATTTGGTTGAGTTGTGGGTGGTCATCTTTGACCATGGATGTTGTCTTAAGTGTTTAGGTAGGCTTGAGTGTCGTTTAAGCGGACTTAACTTAATGCTACCATCTAGGTAGGCTAAGGTGTCGCCTAAGTGAACTTAACTTATGTTATCGTCTAAGTAGGCTCAAGTGTTGCATTTGCGAGCTTAACATGGGCTACTGTCTAAGTAGGTTCAAAGGTCGAGTTTGCAGGCTTAAGTATTTGTTACCATCTTGGTAACTCGGGTGCCATGTTTGTGAACTTTTGTTACTATCTAAGTAACACAGGGTGCCACATTTGTGGTTTTTGTTATCGTCTAGGTAACTCAAGTGTCGCTTTTACTGGCATTTATCATTGTTTAAGTAACTTGGGTATTGCGTTTGTGGGATTTAACTTATGTTATCGTCTAAGTAATTGGGTGTCACCTATGTAGGCTTTACTCATGTTATTGTTTAAGTAACTCGATGCCTCGTTTGAGGGTGTTATTTATGTTACCGTTTAGGTAACTCAGTGTCTCATTTGAGGGCTTTATTTATGTTACCCTCTAAGTAACTTAGTGTCTTGTTTGAGGGCTTTTGGTGCCACATTTATAGGTTTTTGGTGCCACATTTGTGGGCTTTATTTTACCATCGAGGTAACTTCGATGTTGCATTTGTGGGTTTATGGTGTGACATTTGTGGGTTTTATGCTTCCATCTAGTTAATTCAAATGTTGCATTGACAGGGTCTGCTGCGTTGCGTAGAGGAGGGAGAAATAAAAGTTAACGTTGTTTTTGTATATTTAACGGAATGGACCTTGAAGCAAATTATACTACGTGTGGATGAAGTTGAAACCTTTTTAAAAGGTAGGATCAACTTGACACACTGTAGCGAAACTAAGGATAAAGAAAGTAATTAAACTAAAAAATTAATATATATATATATATATATATATATATATATATATATATATAATATAAGTGATTTAATAGTAGATGAAAAATGTAGGTGATGTGGAGAGTGAGGTGTGAGAAGAAAAATAGGATAGTGAGGATGTAAAAAAAAGAGTGTTGGATTATTTTTTGCCATTGGGATAAGGGTTAAAAATGAAAAACCAAATAATATGATTTTGAAACAATTAAATAGGAGGTGTAAATAGTAAAGTGAAAAGTTTTTTTTTATTGTTTTGTTTCTTTTTTTATTTTTCTTTTTAGGCTATGAGATATATGAATATATGTAATAAAAACAATTTTGTTTCATCTTTTATTTTTATTTTACTTTTTTAACAATTTTTTAAAAATATTAATTTTAATTATTCAAACAAAATTGAGTATTGACAATAAGAATGAATCTTTGGACAAGTAGCAATATATAAGTAGTGATTTAATGAATGCTTATGAGGATTGGAACACATAAAAAAATCTACCTATTCAAAACTTTTCTAAATAAAATACCATATAAATTTGTTATAAAAACTGATAATATCTAAAAAACATTAAATAATATCAATAAATATAATAACTTATATATGTTAAATTAGCAAAATAATAATAAAAATATAATATTCTATTTAATTAATCATATATTTATTAATATATATGATATTAAAAAATATTATAATATAATCAAACTGATGAAATTACATCAATAAACTACTAATTAATAATGTTACTTGATCATACTATTTCTATATTTGTTGGACCATGGTATATACAAATAAAATGAAAGTTATTTTTTTAGGAAACATGGTGGTTGTTTTTATTTTGTAGTGTTTTTATTAAAACTTAAATTATTTCCAAAAATAAAATTAATATACTATAATTGAATAAACCAAATCCTTATAAATCTTTTCTATACCATATAGGGTAATCAGTAAATCTATCAAATCATTCTAAAATTTTGACAGCGACAATACCATTTTTGTTTATCATTCCTTATGAGTGTCGTTTTTGTCTTATGTATTTTTAGTTATTTTTTATTTTCTTATAAGCATTTAATATAAGGTTATTTAAACTAACGTCAGTTTTGTCAAATTCAAACCTTTATTTACCCCCAAGAAAGAAAAGGTTCAGATTTACCTAACTATTTTTTATCCACACAAAACAAATGTATAAGAATGAATATAGGGGCTATTTGATTAGGTATTAGTCCCCATGTTAGCATATTATTATTCAATATGCTAATTTTAAAATAGAAATTAATATTAGTTAAAAAAGAAATTAAAGAAAAGGTTGATTTTTATAACTATATCATTGACAATTTGAGTATTGTTGATACATTTATCTACTACTATGCAGTGATGATAAATAAGACAAAAAATAAAGGTCCAAAAAAAAAAATACTTTTTACTTTACAAAAAAGTAAAAAGTACAGTAATATGGATAGATACATTTATGATCGAAAGAACACATATAGACATGTACAATACTCAAAATGTTAAATTATTGTATGATACTCAAAAATATTAAATTATTGTATAATACTCAAAACAAATAATGGTTTTAATAAAAAAAATATATATTAAAATAATGTTTTAACTAGTACGAAGTGGACTGTAAGATTCGTAAAATTAAGTTTATCACTCATTTTAATTATCTTAATATTATAATAAAGTTTTGCATGAGCTTTAAATCTTAAATCTATGCAATATTAACAAGTTTCTTAGAATTAATTTTAAGCGACTAGGCGCAGTAAAGAAGAAAAAAAAGGCACAATTATATTGCGTAAAAAACGGAACTAAAGTTAAGCATTTAGATTCTCGACCTACATTTAAAGGTGAAATGATTTAGTAACCCCCACTTGCACAATCAATGGGGAACAAACTTTTCCATCAACTTTTCTAACCAAGATTTAACCTTTTTCATGCATGCATTCACCACATAATTAGTACCCTTAATCCTCGTTAATTATCAATCTACTTCCCTTCTAAACTAGTTTGCTTTTAACAAAACAGAGGATCATAAAAAAGAAAAAAAAAAAACTAGCTTTACCTTATACCATCATATTCAATCGTAACTAAAGAAACAAAACGGCTATGATTGCTATTGCGAAGGACACCAAGTACTTTTTTACTTCTTTTGACAGTATCCTTCACTATTTTCTTTTTTTGAAATACAAAAATTCACTTTTATTTAGACCATAATAACGATGTCAAATGACTTTCTCCTGTTACTAATGCTAATGATCCGTTTACATAAACTACAAACATAATTAAATCCTCTTGCATTGATCACTCAAAAACATAGTTTAATTAAATGATATAAATACACATCCCGCAACCTTATTACGATACTAGAAGGAAAAATAAAAATCAAACACATGAAGGTGGTGACAGGACAATGCAGTTATTCTCCATGTCTGCACTTTTAGCTAGTTGCAATGGATTATTGAGGAGGACGGTACCCTGGAGGATGAAGCCAATGATTTGGGATCAAAGAGGAAGAAGAACCGCCTTTGACATTGTTGCGATCAGAGTTTCCACTGATGGAAGTGGCGTTGATAGTAGCACTCCAAAATGAGACATCAGAACCAGCCGTAAGGTTTGTACTCGAAACATCACTAATCAAGCTTTGTGCTGCTGCAGCAGCACTGCCACCAGACACGTTTGATGGAAGCAAACGTTGTGGTGCAGGATAGAGAGATTCCATCCTCTCTCTGATTCCCACGTGATGGAACCGAGGAGGAAAAGAAGCAGCAGCAGCAGCAGCGTTGAAGCCAGACAGAAGAGGCAAAATAGAAGAAGAGCCCGCAACGTTCAGGTAGTGATTGAAAGGCTGCGATGGGGTCAGAGAATGAAGCGTTGCCAGAGAAGATAAATACCCTCCTCCTCCTCCTCCACCACCACCACCACCGCCAAGTTGATAGTAAGGGGTAGTTGAGTGAGCCATGGTGAGTGACGGAGAAGGGTTCACCAAATCTGAGTGTGGCTGTGTGAGTGAATTGGAGGGTGAAGAATCTGTTTTGCCACGTTTGGCCTTACGGGAAGCACCACCAACGGGTATGTTCCTGAAGGTTCCACCCTGCGTCCAGTACCTTTTACACGTTTTGCAGAAGTGGCGAGGCTGCGAGAGACTATAGTTGTTGAAGTAGCAGAATTTGGTGTTGGTGGAATTGCAGCGAGGACATTTGTGCTGCGGTTTTGGCGGTGCAGCAGGAACTGCAAGATGAATTTTTGTATTTTCTTCTCTGGCTTGATGATGTTCCATATCTTAGCGTAGCGTGCTTTGTTCTCTCTGCGTGTGGATGGGGATAATTTTGGTTGTATTTATATTTGTGTGTACTATGAAATGGTTGGTGGCATGGATTCGAAATAAAAGCGTGTGGTGTTTCAGATATCGGGGGCTGTGTAATGGCGCCACGTGTCGAATGTGTTTTTCGATTGGTGTATAGTTGTCAAAAGGGCAAGGCGATGATTACATGATGGTGCATGGTTTTTACTGCCTCCCAAGAACGAAGCCAAAAAAGAAGGAAGCAAATCTCTCAAATTTAATATGAATGTTATGAGGTATCTGAAACTGGGTGTTGGAATTAATTGAGGAGGATCTTGTTAAATCTGAGTGGGTTCTGGGGATCTATGTTTAATAAATTTGGGAGGAGTGAAGTGTAATTGAAATACGAAAGGAGAAAAGAAGAGAGAAGGGAAAAAATGGTGTTTATGCAAAATTGGGTGAAGGGGATTGATGTGAAATGTTTAGAAAGTGGAAAAATGAAGGGTCCCAATCTGAGTGTTTGAAAAGGGAAGTTGGATTGAGGATTTGGTGAGAGAGGTGTCAGATTATGATAAAAGTATAAGCAGAATAAATGGGGTAGATTGTGGAGTCCCTTCTCTGGCCAACTAAGATCACATCAAAATGGAATTGAAATAATGCACTCAAAAGCTGTTGAGGTTTCTCAGCACAAACCTTGGAAACAAAGGGGAAACACAAACCACCTGAAACTTATTTCACACGATTGATCCTTCTCTATCACCTCTGACTCCTATTCAACTTTTTTTTTCCAATTTCAAACATTCTATTTAATAATTAAACAATACATTTTAAACAAATTTACCGTATATTATCGTATTATAATATTCATTATTAATTTTACCTTAAATTCAAGATACAATTCAAATATATCAACTTCTACGTATAATAATTTATAAAATTACTAACTTTGAATTAATGTTATAGCAACCAAATATGATAAGTTTGCTATTTATAAATCTTTTTTTTTTGGTTGGCTTGGTGCTACTGAATTGTATGATCCTATAATCTTCAAAAATATTCTTTCTTCTAAAGTTGTTCATGCTTAAATTTAATGCGTGATATCTCTCATTCTTGTTTATAATGTTTTGCGAGAAATTCTCTTTTGTAAAACACTCTGGATTTGGATATGATAGTCAAAATTTGGTTCTCAGAAAGTGACTAGGAATTTCTTTTGTTCTTATAGTAATCCCTCTAAGTGAAAATATTAGATTTGCGAGAATTTCATTCTTCTTGCCAAGCTAGAAGAATTAACGTGTATGCTTTATGTAGTATTTTTGTAATATCTTAGTAAAATTTCTTAGGATAAGGAGATTCAATCTAGAAGAATTAATGTGTATGCTCCATGTAGTATTTTTGTAATATCACTTTGTTGGGTGTCACATTACTCTTAAAATCTTATCTTCGTTTCACCGAGAGTTTTCAAATTCGATTTTTTTTTCTCTCCCAATGATATTTTTACAATTTGTCAAAGTTTTAAGCAGTTCTCTTGTGAAAAAGTATTGTCTAGTCGTTGTTATTTATATTTTTGTATGGTGTAGAGACTATGAAATTATGATAGGTTTCAAACTTTGATGTGGCCCATTATGACGGACTCGCACACTCGGATGAAAGTCTAGCCATTGCGGAGGAATTGAAGAGTGTGGAGGAGAAGAGTGATAAGAGAGAAAAGAGGGACAAGAAGGAGAAGAAAAAGCTAAAAAAAGTGAAAATAAACCTAATATGTTACACTTAATTACTTTTCAATGACATTATTATTTTAAAAAATATAAAGTCAATTAAGTTAGAGAAGTATAAGAATAAAAATAAATCATAAATCTAAATATAAAAAAATCAAATTACTAATTAAGTTTTAAAAAAATAAAATAAAAATCTATCAATTTGAAGATTTGATTAAAAAATATTTTTTTAATAATATTTATGTTTATTTCTTTTTATTATGAATTAAATATAGTATTATGTTAAATTTTATATAATTTTTGTAGGTTTTGTATCATGGAAGGTACTCTTGTATTATTTGATAGAATTGCAGCATACCTTTTGAAAAAAAAAAAATTCAAAAGACTTATTGGATTCCGTTATGAAGGTCAGTAAAAATCATTGCATCTCTTTGCTTATAAATCTGGTTTGACGGCTATTAAGGTACTTGAATACAAGATAATTATATGAGTATTATGTTTGATTGCTTGCAACCCATACATTATTAAACATTCTTAATTATTTACATGAGCTTGAAATGTTAATTTGATTTAGTAACACTTAATTTTTTTCAAAGCATCTTTTAAAAGTTGAATAAAAACATTTAATTTTACCAATTAAAAAATAATAATATTTTGATATGTTCATTCATAAAAAGAAAAAGATATGGATCAAGATAAAAGAAAGAAAGAAAAACTTTCAAGGAGTAGAGACAATAGGAAAAAGAAATAATAAGGATATCGTTAAAAACAAGTTATAAGGTTTTGTAAGCTCTATAGAAATTTTGAATGAGAGGTTTTTTAAAGATGGTCTTTTCTTTGTCAGTTGACCTAAAAGGATCATCCTTTTCGATAAACAGAGGAGTAAGAAAATATATGGATCAAAGTAGCATAGCAGAATGGTGATAAACTAGATTTCTATATGTGGGAGGTACATGAGAAGAGTTATATTACTCAAGACATGATGGTTGATGCGTCATAGAGAGTTCTTTAATGCAACAAACATGTCATCTTGATGAGGATTAGTTAAGAGCATTTTGTGATCTTCAAAAGTTAGAGGTGAGGTTTTGTACAGAGGAAAAAGGTAAGAGACAAAAAAGACTAACTCTTTGTTCACTTGAATGGATTTGGGGGAGAATGATTTACTGGATTTGAGAGAATTTGAAGATAAATTTTGTTGTTGTTTATTTGAATGAATTTGGAGGTAAGTGAGAGTGGATTCGGAAGCAACGTTTATAAGAATTAGTGTAGGATTTGATTGATGTGACATATTAAAAAAATTTACTTCCAAATCCACTCTCTACTACCTCCAAATCCACTAAAATAAACAACAACAAAATTTATCTTCAAATCTTGTCAAATCCATTCAATCACTTTCTCCCAAATCTATTCAAGTAAACAAAGCATAAGTGATCGTGTTTATGTGATTCATAGGAACATACATGAATTCCTGTATATTGGAGTTGTTTTAGACTTTCTAGAACGGTTTGGTTTTCTGTCAGGTAAGGAAAGCTAATAATTTCTTTAATTTCATGTTAAGAAGTATGTAATTATGTTTGATCGAATGTGAAATGTATACTTACCTAAATTTGTTACAATTTGAGTGAAGTGTATATCCTGATGAGTAAATAATTTCCTATTAATGATTTTTGTGGTGTATAATTGTGAAATGATGCTTGATTGAATATGTCATGTCGCTATTTTGGAGTTTTAGGAAGTATAAGTCTATTACAAAGTTGAAAGTAGTGAAAATGGAGTGTTGTTGAACTGATTTTCATTCTAAATTGAGGTTTTAATAGTTGAATTTTTAGAAGAGTGATTTTAGAACTATAATTGATGTTGGAAAGTTGTTTTTAGATCATTACAAACTTGTTTAGGACTTTAATTAACTATAAATATGATGTTGAGTTGGTAATTAGCTAATAGGTTGAGTTTAGGTTGTTTTTTGTCCATTTTAGAGGTTTTAATAGATGAAAATCTAATGAAGTAAGTTTATGATAAACTCAAGGTGTAGGGTCTATTTTAAGTCAATTGTGACTTGTTTAGATCCTTAGTTTGCTAAATTATGGTTTATAATGTATAGAATTGGTTATAAGTGTTTTTGAGTGGTTGGGTTGATCTAGTGCATTTTGTTTTTTACTAAATGATCAAAGAGGTACTCAATTTTATCAATAAAATGTTTTTGCATCAATCCTAGTGTTAAAGAAGTCAATTTGGTCATTTAAATAGATCCAAACACCAGGATTGACTTCTTTAACACTAGGATTGATGCAAAGCTCAAAGCTGCCAAAACAGTAAGCTCCTATGCTCTAGGGCGCTAAGCACTCCATTTTTGTGCTTAGCGGCATTTTTACAATGGGTTTTGGGCGTTGGGCGAGTTAATACTGCAGGTTGGTGACTCTTTGCGATTTCTGACACAGTGGATTATGGCGGCACATGATGGAACTCATGGTGACAAGTTGGTCTAGTGAAGTGGTTATTAGCCTGAGAGACATGGAAGGTGACACAAAGAAGGAGAAAGAGAATTATAAAGTTTCTAATGGAAGAGACGAAACTGCTTCTCATTGGTTGATTGAGTGTGTAACATCATTTAAAAAACCGCATCAGCATTATACGTAAACATAACACTTACGTCTTTGGATAAAATAAGGACCTAATTGAAATGAAAAAAAATTAAAAGACTTATTTGAGATTTCTACTGAAAAAAGGATTCCACGGATGATTAAATTAATTAAATTTTTTAATTTGTTCTTTTACTTCTATATAATTTTAATATAAGTATAAATATAATAAAATAAAGAATCTAATTATTATTTTAATAATAGTATATAAGAAAATAAATGTGTATCTCCATTTTAATATTAAAATTAGTGTATATATAAGTTATTCATATATATTACCCATTATGCAAAGTAGACAGATGTCATATAAGTTAAACCCATTTTTGAAATTAAGAGTAAGGATTCATGGACCTATTGGCCCATTCATGTTTTCCCAAATTTTCTAACCCTAACCCAACTCTTCTCACTCTCGGAGCATCTTTCTCACATCCCCCACCACAGGCATCAACGCCCACGCGCCGCTGCCGTTGTTCCTGCCGCCACCATTACCGCGAAGACTCAGTTACGGAGCTCCGCTAATCGTCGGCGTGAACGACGCCCTCTCTGCATTCTAAAGTTGTGTCTGTCGTCGCAACAGGTTGGTCCTCCACTTCCCTTCCCGACTTCTCTGAGTTGTTCTGGTTTCGATATACGATATTGTTTGTTGAACTTCGTTTT